TGCCGCCAACAACAGTGCTGTAACAGTGTTTGGAGGTATACTGGCCTGGCCCTCGATTCCTGTGGTATGTTTTTTTTTTCTTTTTTCTTTTCTTTTTTGTCTGTTTTATTTTTATATGATACGTTATTTTAGGGATGGGGGTGGGAGTGGTTTGTATTTTGTTATTTTTGTCTTAGGGTGTGATGATTTTTTTAGAATAAAAAATAAATAAATCAAATAAATAAATAAATAAATAAACTTATGAGTCGACCATACTCGAGAAATTCTTGTTTTTTCCCCAAGGGCTCACGCCCCCCCCCCTCTGGATATTACTGACGCCCCCTCCCCCCAGGTTAAGAACCATTGGTATAAAGTAATCAGTTTGCTACGCATCCGCACACACACATACATATGAGTGCGTGTAAATTACCTTGTTTGTACACATACATACGTATGTTAAGGTGAGTGTATGTATATCTTGTCTATGCACTCATACATGTATATGTTGAGGTGAGTGCATGTTTATCTTGTTATAAATTCACATGGAGATCTGCATGATGGGTGTAAAACATGTCCATAAATATCAAGACAAAAAACACGTTTCTGTCTCATCAACAGGTAGTCAGTGCAACACGCCAGGTACTCGCTTAGGCGCCTGTGTGTTAGTGAACGAGTGCGTGAGGTTGGAGCAGGTGTTTCAAGTGACCAATGCAGCGAATGATGTGGGCAGAACCACCAAGTTCCTCGTCGACCATCGGTGTGATACCAGGTGATTGCAGAGATATGTTATCTGAGTGGGGTGGTTTGATTGTTCTGTCTGTCTCTTTGGGTGTGTCTGGTTCTGTGTTTTATGTTTGTATGTCTGTCTCTTGTCTCTTTCTGTATGTCTGTCTCTTCTCTTCTCTCTCTTTCTCTTTCTCTCTCTCTCTCTTTCTTTCTCTCCCCCCCCCCTTCTCTCTCTCTCTCTCTCTCTCTCTCTCTCTCTCTCTCTCTCTCTCTCTCTCTCTCTCTCTCTCTCTCTCACTCTCTCTCTCTCTCTCTCTATCCCTTCCTCCTCCTCTCCTTCTTTCAAACCACTCTGTTTTCTCAATGAACACAATGCTCAAAGCTACCAATCTTTCTCAACTATAATAATGAAACATTATATTGTCTTGTTGATAAGGAACATGTGATAAATGATTTATCAATATATTTTCTACTGAGTGATTAATTTCTATATATTCTTTCTTTGACAGAGGTGGAAGTATTCACGTTTGCTGCCCGACATTATAAGGATAAAATGCATTAAGAAAAATCACAGCAAAGGTTTAAAGAGAATCGTATTAGTGATTATGTTAAAAAAAAGTGTTTGTTATCATCACTGTTGCAGGATTTCTTGCATAAACAATCTTACTAACTTAATGTAGTATAAAACAACTTAGTTTATTTCCTTATTATTATCACTATTAATGTTCATGTGTAGTCATATAGTAATAGATATATCAGTAGTGGTTAGTAGTTATAATTACATTCAACATAACCTCAAGAAGAACAATTGCAGTAGTATAGCAATAAAGTGCACATCAATACTGATGACAAAAGCAATAATCTCAATACTTATGCATCTTTCCATTGTGAATCAATCTTAAGTTTCAAAATTAAAATAATTATCAATATTAACTCTTAAAAAAGCGGGTTTGTCTATCCTTTGGTGTGATATTGTGTGTGCTTGTGGTTCTGTGTGATATTTGGTTTTATAACTATATTGGAATGTTTAATCGTATTGGTATTAGATGATGTAAGTTTGTGTTGAGTTAGATTTTCCTGAATTTCATGACTTGACTTGTATTACGCGATCACATTGCTGTAATAAATCCATTACAGTTGATAGAATACAGTTATCAAATATCTGTTAAGTGAGTTATATGCATAATTAGTTTGCGTATTATATTAAATAGATGAATCAAATGTGTGCGTACGTGCGTGTGTAGTAATATTCCTACCTGCAGATTTATTGCTGTTTATGGCCCTGTAAATAACAAAGAAAGTACTTCCTGTTATAAATAGTATTTTTTCTATCTTGAATTACTTTACCTTCCGCTATTTTCCTCTTCATAAATTCTTATTACATTCTTATATGCTTACTATGCAATTCTTCCTTCTCTTCATTCCTTTTCTTCAACAGGAACTTTTACATTACATATCGACAAAGATATTTCTAAAAAAAAAAAAAAAAAAAAAAAAAAAAAAAGTGCTAGCAGTAACTGTAGCTTTTTTTTTTTTTTTTTTTTTTTGTCTGATTTGCGAAGCAGAGCCTCGCCCGGGCTATGCTCATGAGGGGAGCCCGGTATGTAAATTGTAGATGTGTTGTTGTAGTAGTATTAGTAGTCACGTGACTGAGGACTCTCCGCCTGGACTCGTGGTTTTGGGAGTAACGTGAGGTGTTCGTTTGCGTATGTGTGTGTGTGTGTGTGTGAGCGTGTGCGTTTGTGTGCGTACACTAAATGTAGTATAATACAGTAATGATCAAAAGCAACAATTACTTTCACCCCGACACTGCCACATGAACGAGAACAAGACACATAAGTTACAATAATTCACTCTCCTCCAATGCATTATTTAATATGTAAACACAAATAAATTATTAATAATGAGAACAATAACAAACTTACCTTGCCCGTGTAGAAGGCGAAGTTTGTAAATCAATTTCTCATTTACATAAGCCTACATTGACATAAAACCACAGCTAAGTATAATTTCTAGATTTGACTTAATTATACTTAGGAAAAAGAAAAACTGGCAACTCAATTCTGGAATATTCAGATTCGTTAAATTTTATTTGTAACAAAATGGGGGGGGGGGGGGGGGGGGTTAAGGGGGAGAAGAAGAGGAGGAATGGAGGGATGGGAAGAGGATGAAAGAAGGAGTAAGAGAGGAGGGAGAGGAAGATGAGGAGGAGAGAAGGAGGGAGGGGAAGAAGAGGAGGAAGATGAGGAGGGTATAAGTAAGAAGGGAAGGTAGAAAAGAGGAATAAAAGCAATTTAAAAAATGCATATTCTAAATAGATACCAAACACGTGTGAATATAAGCATATGTGTCAGTTGATTCGAATATAAATAAAGAGTGGGCGAGCTGCCATTTTTCTTTTTTTCTCTCTCTCTCTCCTTTTCCTTTTATTCCTTAATCCTTCTCTTCTCCCCCCCCCCCTCCCATCTTAACATCCTAACCTCCAATCAACTCGCCCCTATAACCTTCCTCACACCAAACCCTTCCCCCCCCCTCTCCCTCCTACTCCTCAAAACCTCCCCAACGAACACCAACACCGACGAAACCGTAGCCACGGCCAACGCGAAGAAGGGTCCGAACACCGCCTTCATCCCGACCGGTGCATTCTGCAAAGAGCCGCAGTTCTTGGCTTCGGTGCTCCAGTCGCGCCACCACTTGCGGAGGAGGCCGGTCGACATGATGTCCATCACGCTGCGGGGAGGGAGAGGGAAGGAGGGAAGAGGGAGAGGAAGGGGGGAGGTGGGAAGGAGGGAGGAGGGGGAGAGGAGGAAGGAAGGAGGGGACAGAAGGGGGAGGGAGGAAGGAGGGAGAAGGGAAGGATGAGGAGAGGGAAGGAGGAAGGGGAGAGAAGGTGGAGGGAGGATGAGGAGAGGAGGAAGGAAAGGGAGGGGAGGGAGGAGGGAGGAGAAGGGAAGGGGGAGGGAGGAGGAGGAGGGGATGAGAGGGAAGGTGGGAGCATGAGGAGGGGGAGGGAGGGAGGGGAAATGATAGGGGAGGAGAAAAGAGGGAAGAAGAGGAGGAGGAAGGGAGGGGTAAGTAAAGATGAAAAGAAAGGAGGAAGAGGAGAAAAGAAAGGAAGCAATCGGGTTAATTCAGATAAATAAGGAGAAATGACTGTGATACGTTTCACATTGGTCAGATACTATATCTATCATTTATTGTCTTTATCATCACCATTACTATCCCCATTACCATTATAATTATCATCGTTATTATTGTTGCTTTTGTTGTCATTTTATTATCATCTTGTCGTATAATTATTATCCTCATCATCATCATTATAATTATCATTATAGTTCTTCTGGAAATATTTGCATGTAATGATAGCTCTCATGACTGGACTGTGCTCTGTATTTTCATTACATTAATCTCAATACTGCTCTCTATACAACACATTTAAGTATGATCCCATGAGATGAAAATAGCACAAAGTTGGTAAATAGAATCGCTTCATTAATATTTTATACAGAGCGAACAGTTGCAGGCATAAGTGGAAAGCAAGATTTTACACTTAGAAATATACTTTTTTGTGACGCGTTCAGAAAGCTAAGTTTTTATAAACTGCGTTCAGAAAGCTATATTTTCTATAAAGCGGGTGTAGGAAGCTACGTTTTCTGTACCTTAACTATAGAATGTTACATATCCTGTATTGCGGGTGTAGAAATCTGTGTTTTCAATAGCTTAAGTGCAAACAGCTAAGCTCTATTATCTTTCCCACAGGTGCAGAAAGTTGCGTTTTCTATAGTGTAGGTAAAGGAAGCTTTATTTCCATTACCTCAGACACAGAAAACTGCATTTACACCGTGGATGTAAGACATTTTCTATATCACATTAACAGAAAGTTACCGTGGGTGCAAACAGCTCATTTTCTTTGTCTCACTTGCAGAAAGCTACATTTTCTATACCTCTGGTACAGGAAGCTATGTTTTCTTACAACTCAACAGAAAAATCTATATTTTTCTATACCAGGGGTGCAAACAGCTACATTTTCTTTATCTCAGGAGCAAAAAAGCTACATTTTCTATACCGCGAGTGGAGGAAACACAGGTGCAGAATACCACATTTTTCTACACTGCCAATCCAAACACCTAATTTTTGTTTCCTCTTAAATGCTGAAAACTACAATTTCTACACCGCGAGTGCAAAAATAAATAAACAAGAATCTAAAAAAAAAAAAGAAAAAATAAAATCTCTATTTCTTTCTCTCCCCCCCCCATACCAAACCCTATATCACTATCCCTCATACACAACGCGACTCACACTTTATTCAACACGGGCACGAGAGGCGAGTCCTTCTTCAGCATAAAGGAAGCCTGCACGTGGAAGTAGGACGTAGGCAGCATGAACAGTCGACAGTCGTGCCCGTAGCCATAGCGCATCGGAATGCCCCAGCCCATGTGGAGATAAGGCTCCCTCAGAACTCGCTGCATGCCCTCGTCCAGGCTGTTCATGAGGGTTTCGTAGTTGTTGTCCTGGATTCTCTGCCAGAGCTTTTGGACGATGTTGTCTGTCGATTCCTTCAAGGCGAAAGAGGGTGGAACGGCGGATTATTTATATATCTTTTATTAGCATGGGTGTCTTTTTCTCAAATTCTTGTCTTTATGTTATATATATATATATATATATATATATATATATATATATATATATATATATATATATATATATGTATATATATATATATATATATTTATATATATATATTTATATATCATAGATGTGTCTCTTTCTCATATTCGTGGTGTTTTTTTATGTATTTTGATATTATTTAATATATATGTTATTATGGATGTCTTTTTATCATATTCTTGGTGTTTATTTTATATATAGACCTGGATATTGTTTAATATGTTTATACTTTTATGGATGTCTTTTCGTGGTGTTTTTTTTCTATTGTGGATAATAGTTGTTTTTTTAATCTTCATATTCGAGGTGTTTTTTAAGAAGTTGATAATGTGAAGTATTTTTAATAAAAGAGAAAAAAATACAGTTAGAATGATTCCAGTAATAGATACAGTGCTTTTACCGTACAAAAATAAATTTCTATGATCTAATTTTGAAATATGATTATATGACCTACTGAACATAAATAAAGTTGAGACATTTAAAAGAAAAGAAAATGTGCATTAATTTCAGACAAGTAACTGGTACTCTTGCTGGCCATTTACAAGCCAATTAGGACCTAATGATAAACATGATTAAATTCCCTCACTAACTATTTGTTCTCCCAAAGCTATTTATAACCGTAAGTCCAACCTAAATCCATTTATTCAGCAGTTTTTTTTTATTGATTATCTACTTTTATTCTATTTATTATTATTGTTATTATTATTATAATAATAATTATTATTATTATTATCATTATTATTATCATTATTATCATTATAATTATTATTATTACTATCATTATTATATTATCATTATTATTATTATTATCATTATTATTAATACTATTTTAAGCTAAAAACCTTCCCATCAACAATATCAATTCAACGAATATCTCACACCGACGCTAAACCTTCACCAACTCACACTGAAGTAGAGATGCGGCGCCGCCCCTTTCTCGAAGCCTAATTTCAGCGAAGGGTTCTGATAGATGTCGTAAAGTGTCGATAGCTTAGGAGGAGAAGGACCCGCTGTCAGGCTGGAGACGAGGTCGCTTGTGTAATAGGCTAGGAGGAGCACTTGGAGCATAAGGCCCATCAGGATCACTAGGCGACATGATGCGCTTTCTATGGGCTGTGATGTGCCTGTTTATAAACGTTTTTTTTGTTGTTGTTTTTTTTTGGGGGGAGGGAGGCGTTACTATAGGTCTCTGTTTGGTTGGTTTATTTGGTATGGAATGTCGTAATTGGCTCATTGGTGATTTAGTACAAGTGTAGCCATCTATGTGTAAAAACAATTAAACAAGTAAACCCGCAGTGAGCATGGCAAAGACGTATGTGACATGCCCGTCGTGAATGGTTTAAGCTCACCTTGGCCAGCAACAAAACCAATGATCACAGTAGCAGAATCGAGGAAGCTGAAAGAAGGCTGTTGGGGGGAGAGGCGAGTCGTCAGGAACAACAAAACAACAAGAACAAGAACAGTTCCGGAAATCGTTGCCCAGGCCGGGACGCTGAACTGCTTGGTGTAGACGGTCCACATGTGGTCGTCGTTCGAAGGTTTCCTCATGAATATCCGATAGCTATGAAGAAAATGAAATATATATATATATATATATATATATATATATATATATATATATATATATATATGTGTGTGTGTGTATATATGTGTGTGTGTGTGTGTTATTGTTCGTTTTAAGAGATAAGTTTCCTCGTGAAAATCGGATAGCAAAGGAGGGGAAAAAAGTTTTTTCTTGTTTTATCATATATGTTAAGAGGTTTCCTCGCGAACATCCGATAGCTATGGAGGAAAAAAAATAGTTTTTTCTTGTTTTATCACGTTTTAAGAGAGAGGTTTCCTCATGAAATTCCGACAGCTAGGGGAAGAAAATTAGGTTTTCTTGTTTGTGGATCGTAGGTGTCTTGGGGAAGGATGAGGAAAGAAGGAGGAGGAGGAGGAGGAGAAGAAGAAGAAGAAGAAGAAAAAGAAGAAAGAGGAGAAGGGAGAGGTAGGGGAAGGAGAAGGAGAGAGATGGGGAGGGAAAACAAGAGGGAGGGATAGATAGAGATCAAACAAAAACACACAAACAAATACACAATCAAATCAACAGCAACCCATAAATACATACGCCCACCCGACGCAAATCCT